TATATAATAAGTACCAACAGAAATCAATTGCCGAATAAGTTTACGAAGAAATTAAAAGTAAACCAATAGAAACAATAAAAGTACCATTCATGTTATGATCGGTTTGATCCAGCGTACTACATTCCTCGGATGAACAACGGTACTCTTCTGTTTTGCTTTCAGTGCCTAAAACAAGGATCGACGTGTATTGATACGTTATCAACTAGTTCACTGCTATTGGTTTTGAAAACTTTAACTTGATCTACAATTTTCTCTCAAATATTGTCAAGCTGTTGGATCTACGATTACTAAGAAAAATGTCCCGACGTCATTTGTTGCAGTCATGAATGCAGAATGTCACCCATATGGTCACCTGTTCATAAAAAAAATATTCATACAGAAAATACCATGTGAAAAAAATCATTTCTTAAAATATCATCTTTGTTTCTATTCATTTAATCCCTTATTTAATTCCTTGAATAGACATGATTTTACATACCTCTAAGATGTACTGCTTTCAATCTATGCATAGAATAATGTCTCGACATTTCCGCACTAATGCTGATTGCAGCTGCAACTCTCAAAGGCTAAAAACAAAAACATATGAAAGGTCAAAACTGGAGCAGACTTTACAACTGCCTCGAATTTGTAAAATTAGGATTTCAGAACTTGTTCAAATAAATCATATGAGCATGAAATGCTTACGGCGGGCATAAATGTATTCACTTGATGCATGTAAGATGTGAATAACAAGTTTGAATGAAGACCCCAGCTATCTTCGAAGTAGTTATCATCGAAGATAAAGTCGTTCAAGTTATTCTTTGGATGTTTGTCGACCATTTTTTCGAGATGAGTCACAATGGTTGACGACTACAAATACATTTAACAAATGATTTCAATTGAATCTGCATGTTAACCTTCAAGATTCACTTTGTTCAATTTTACCATTTCTTGATATAAGATCATTTGCATCATCTATGACTACAACTTTGTTTTGTGAATTCACAGCTAATGATGGTGGTAGATTGTTTGGTAGTATGGACTTCAGTCTTGGTCATTTCAAGTTCGCCAATAGTTGCACATTTAATGATTAAAGCAAAAAACTACTGAGAAATTTTTCTGTTGGTTGGTTCAACACAAATTCATTTTCATTTTCAGTAAGTGTGTAGATAAGACCAAACCACTGAAGCTTTTAGTTTTTTGAAATTTAGTGTCATGTTTTTTCGTTGCACATTTTGGAAAACATGATCTACACATCTCTTTTATAAAATGCTGCAACAAATTTGAAGAATTATATTTATGTATAATGTCTGTCGACGAATATATGTGTAAGGCTATATTGCTGGATTGATCAAAAAGAAAATCAATCATTCTCCAAGACAGTATTTTCTTCGACATGTGACTTTGGCTTTTTGATGGTTCAGGCTAGTTATTCTTAACATGCAGCTCGATTAGGAAAAAATAAATAGAACTCGAAAAGAAATATGAACTCACTTTTTCTCCTCTCTTGTCTCAGATTTTCTGATTATTCTGAGATTTGGGAGGGAATGATTATACATTTAAAAATGATTCCAAAACAAAGTATAAATCAAATACCAATGAATGACATCGTTTACTACCAACATTTTCCTTCGGGTGAAAGGGTAAGAATGTAAATATAAGTGTGAATATCCTCTTGGTTTGTTTTAATAGCTTCCCGATAAGATGATGCAAATCCCCTGGAAATCAATGCGTTAGTTTTGAGAGAAAGGTGCGATACTATTGTTTTTTGCAAATTCCATTGCATTTCTGATTTAGATTTGATATGACAATTGATCTAAAATCAAATTTGAAATTTAATTCACAAGAAGAAATGAGATTCGGAAGTTTTCACAAGTGAAACAAATAACAGATGTGACCATCACTGATTAGTAACGGGAATAATTCATGATACGGAAAATCTGAAAATATATGGAATCCGTTCAAATAAAATGGGATTTCTAGGATTCGATTGGTTCAAATCTGCAATAGTCAAAACAGAACGATGATATGAGCAATTCCTCGGGAACTATGCGTTCATAGTGGCCTATAATGCCCATAGTTGAGAAGATGAAGGAAGGGTAAAGTAAAAATGAATCATTCAAAAGGCAATGATATTAAAATGGGAGAAAAAATCATGCCCGTTAATCGGTGGACGCTGTTATGAGTCCTATTTTCTCATGTTTAATCATAAATTTTGCTTTGATACAGCCAAATGTTATTTTGAAAAAATAAGTTGGAGCGGTTTCATTCTAGTATTTTTTTGTGAGCACGCATACGAAAATAAATAGTCCATATTGTGGATGTTATAGTTACTCCAAATGATTCTGTTGGAATAAATTGAAATTACAAAAATAGATTTGAAAATTAGAGTTAACTATGATATTAATGCTTGGAGCGTTATTGTTGGGGCAAAAGTCAACAACAGGAATGATAAAACAGAAACTACATAAGTTTCAATTCTTGTTTGCAGAATTCAAAACCGATTCATTTTATTAAGATACCAATACCACAAATAGGTAGAGTCCGTTTCCAGAGATTTTTTTTCCTTTTTTTGAAAACCTCGAAGCGCAAAGTGGATTTCGCTTGAAATGAGAACTGTTTCAGATCATAGTTATTAGCACATATCATAAGAGCTTACAACTGATGCTATCATAAAGAGGTAAAGAAGATTAAGAAGATATTAAATCCTTTAGAATTAGATTTGTATACGACACAGGTTATTATATTGTTACTGGTGAACTGAATCAGTTTAGTTGTTCAACAGATGGTTGAATAATTGACGAATTAAACGACACTATTGCTGCGGAATGCATGCATAGATGATGCCATAGGTGCTATAAGTATTGTAAATTCAACTGTAGAAGAAAGAAATGAACATTGCATTAAACAATTTCGTAACTGGTAAAGTACACACTTCAAAATGTTCAAAATACTGAAATGACAATATCCACTATATTTCAGTGATTTTTTCACTTTTAATAGCCAAAGGTATGAGCAATATAAGTCTATCAGATGAATAAATAAGGAATGACTATAACCATTATGCAACTGGTAACATGTCATTAGACCCAAAAAGCAAATTGCTGTTGTTTATTGTTAATGCCATTGCTGTATTGGGATCAATGACTAATACAGTGCATTAGTTTTGAATATCGCGGTATACAGTGGAGGAAAAAGCAACAAAACAAAGCCACTTAGATGCGATTTCCATAATTCTTGATAAACTAATGCATGATATTGCAAAAAATATGTACGTACAGAAATTTGCTACGATTCTTCCAAACCAATCCCGTATAGATCGCATTCGTCCATTACAGTCTCTTCGAACTTGTGTTATTTCGGTGACACTTCGGCCACTCATAATGATATCTCTACAAAAACTGATGTACCAGGTAATACTCACATTTGTAGATGGTTCTCTAGCTACATCGGATGGAAATGATAAAATTTATGCATCCAAACATTAATTTGTAATTTTACTTCAATACAACACCAATAAACCACTTCCGGAATGCAAAAAAGAGTAGACGATCGGTACAAACTACACTTTGAGCTTTACATTTGACATATCCAGTTGGCTAAAATCAAAACTTCTATGTTTGACAATTCTTTATTTTGTTGGAATAATAACCAAATTAATTACTGTAAGCTAATGAGGGGAGTCAACTTCGGCACACTTTCTTAGATCGTTGAAATGGTTACATTTTCAAGCTCCAAAAAATTGGTAATAGCTTGGAATCTGTTCTTATTTCGTCCAGTTAGTTTCTGTTTCGAATTATTTCTCAAAGCTCTGGGCGCAGTACTTACATAAGAGTTATACAAGAAGGACGTGAAAAAAAAAAAGTCAAACAAAATTACAGTCTATTCCGAAAACCAGCCATATAACCCAATAAAATAATCCCAATGCTTCTTTAGAAATCTGCAATTTTTGCTCGTCACCTATCTGCCTCGGATATATTTCTACAATAACGTTTTTCCGATCTAACTGCGCAAAAAAAAGCGGGATCCCCCCGATCGTCATTGTAACAGTTTTAGCAAAAGTTTGATCTTTCAATATACGTGCACAATACAGTACACAAGTTTTCTCACTTCATATACCAAGCACTATTAAAATAGCTGAAGCTATTCAGTGTTTCCTTCAGTGTTTCCTCGGAAATTTGCGATCTTCATAATTGTTAACAGATTAACACAGTTGTGTCACAAGGACAGAACCAGCTTGATACCAACGGAGAAGAGTTTCCATAAACGACGACATTTTGCCAAAAAGTAAATAGAGTGGAGAACAGTTCTTGGAGTTTCACTAAAAAGAAGAATTTGAGCGAAAAGATCAGCAAACCGCATCAGCAAAATAAGTTATACTTGGAATAAAAATAAAATGAGTGGGCAATAGTTTGGTGTCTTTACTGTAGTTCTGAAAATGTCACATCAATTCTCTTCTCTAACCTGTTCTAGGACTGGAACTATTATAGTTCCTATTTTCTGAAATAATCCATAAGGAGGAGATAAAGCAGATGGATATCTGGTTCAATCATCACATGTGCTAAGGAATGAAGGAAGCATCAGAAAAGAGTAATATGATTCAATTTAAATTTCAATCTTTGCAAATCTAAACAGGTGATTAGCTTTAAATTGGAACTTGTGATCGGTAATATCATGTAATTAGCATACATTTCTATCTTCGTTCCGCGTTTTTAAAGAATACAAAACATTAAAGATTGAAATAAGTGATGAAACCTTAGTATTAAACCAAAACCAGAAACTAAAATGGTACTCGCTAATGACCATAATATGTATATCGTAATTTCGAAGGGTATCGTATTTTTCCAGAGATCAAGATGTAAGCAGCAGCTGCTCGATTACAAAACACAATTTAAAACAAGGAACTGCCAATTTTCTTTTTTTAAGACAAGTAAGTTGCATGAAATGGCCGTGTTTATACTGCGTTACTGGAAGTGCAGTGCGAGCGAAAGTTTCGGCTTTTGGTTTTGATTTTTGATGTTCCAATTTCAATTTGATTTTCGGAATTTC